AAAAAAAAAAAACCCACACACAACAAATCCCCCCTCCATTTCTCAGAAGCTGTGAAAGGAATCTGTGGTAGGCAGGCATGGTAAAGTTGTCATGCATAGCACATAGCAAGGGTGCTATCTTCTGTTTGTAAGTTTTGTGTATCTTTGAAGCCAGTTGCTTTTTGCAAGTTGTATGCATTTTAACAGGTTTATTTCGTAAGGTTCTTTACGACTGAAATAAAAATAGTAGATGTAGATTCATCTTGCTAAAGTCACTTGTTGGATATTCCTAGTACTATTTTTCTGCTGCATCATTGGACAAATTTTTCTTAACTCTCTATTACCAAGTCCTCTTTCCGTGATCAATAAAGCAATTGAAGAAGATAGGTTTGATATCCCTGACGTTCCTATGGAGGAGGACTAGATTTTTGATCAGCTCTCTATGAGTGGTAAGATATTAATTGCTGTAAATGTGATTGTCACTTTATCGTTTATATACGCACAAAGCTGCAACAAATACCGCAGACTAAAAACTGTACCTTTACTTTTTCCTATGAAGTATGTGATGGTATATTAGCAGTTTCGGATTCAGTATGGATAGAGACTGAGAGCTGTGCCACATGATACATGAGCATTCCTGTGTGGGCTGTTGGAGTTGGGAGTTGACTAGAGATATTGCAAGATATTCTTTCATGATATTTATAATTTTTGGTCATATCTTCATCAGCTTATGCCTAAATAGGTATATGCGACGAACCTCGAAAGTGTAATTGCCCTGGGTTTTCAAATTTAGTGTACCATGTAATAGCCCCGTGACTTTAAAAGTTTGAGAATCCCAAGTAGAGATGTGTACTCTTTTGGTAAACAGTATCAAAACAGACTAAACTTATTTACAAGAAACAAAGCATATACAGGAGTTGAATCAACTTTATCTTCCAGGCTTTGCTTTAGATGTCGATTATCTCTTCTAAATAATGTAACCTTTTTTTTCTCCAATCTTTTTGGTGAAAGAAACTTGTTAGGTCTAGTATTGTTACTGGGGTTTCACCAATTCACCTTTCCAAGCTCTCCAGCTCCCCTTTCACCAATTCTCTTCTCCGCCCTCTTTCATCCCGTCTCCAACCTCCCCGCTCCCATTTTTTTCTCCTACCCATCCCTCAACCATATTGTCATAATATTGTTCTCGACACCGGCATAGTAACATAACAATGAATGTTCACTGGATAACGCCGACTTCAACGAGAGACTTGTTTAGCCTGAGAACTTTATTCGATAATATCATTGGGGAAGATGACGGGCTAAAGTTTTTCTGCTGGAATCTTCTCTGTTAAGATCTGGTCTTTGGGGTGGTTTCAGGAGGTAAATTTTGGGAAAGAAAATTAATGGACGAGAGAGGGAAGGGATTAGGTTTATTGAGTCTTTCTACTGTTCTCATAATATTTGTTTTTCTGGTTTATTTCGTCACTTATGTTGCTTGAGATTCTTGTAGACTTAAGCTATTGTAGTGAAGATTATTCACATTTATTGTTTACAATCTAATATGGGTAAGAAAATATACTTTGCTGTTGGTTTGTCTTAGGGTTATGTGAATCTGAAGTCTATGGTTTTAGGAGTGTGAATTTCAGATTTCTGGATTTTCCAAGTTCATTTTACCACCGTGGTGGCCATTTGTGGCTACGAGTAGAAATGAGGCAAAACGGGTGAAGAAAAAGCAGGTTTACAACAGAAGTGGGGTCCACAATTATAAATGTCTAAATTTATATTAAAAATGAATATGTGGTGGCTAAAACAGTGACCTGTCATACATGTCATCGCGATTGTAGAACACACTTTGTAAGAGGTGTTTATTAGTTGCGTTATTATAAAGTAGAAGTATTTAAATGAGAATGGTGTAAGTTTATATACCGGAATGATAATCGGGTGCAAGTTTATGTGGTCAGTAAACAATTTTGCTGAAAAATAATGTAGTGTTGTCTTTGAATTGAATTTGACGTTTTCTTTAATTGTGGTTTTCTACTTTTCTTGGAGGTTAGTTTGTGCACATTTTAACTAACTATGAACACTTGTGCACACTTTTAACTAATATATGAGTACCTGTTATCAGACAAAATACCTATTGGGTAACTTCTATCAAATAGAATTTATCTAGTGTGAGCACGTGATTTTCCCGACTAGAAATATTCCTACAAAAATTAAAAAAATAGGCTTTTCTAGATTATTTTCATTTTTATAGAATTTTGTAGGATTTTCTTAATTAATTGTTTGCATTTAGTTGCATCTTTGTGCACATTTAATATTTTAAAATCATAAAAAAAATATCAAAAATATCAAAATCATCACTACATAGCATTTTTAGGCCTTAATTGCATTTAGAGTTTAATTGCATAAGTTAATTGTATTTTTTAAATAAAAATTATAAAAATTACCATAGTCATGTCTACATTTTTAGTTTTAATTAATTAGTGTTAAATTAGTGAAATAAGTAATATTAATTTTATAGAATAGATTAATTTAGAATCTAAATTAGGATTTCATTTAGTTTATTTAGGAGTTTATTAAAAATTTAAAAAAAAAAGAAAAGAAAGAAAAAATGAAATGAAAAACAAAGAAAAAAGGAGAAGAAGGAAATTATGCAATTGGTCCTGCCTCAGTTGGCCGAAAGAATACCAAAATCCGCCCCAAATTTAACCCCGAACCCGGTCTAAATCCGATCCAACCCACTTGTAAATGAAACGACACCGTTTCTTTGTGTTTGATCCCAGACGTTGGATCCCTTTGATCTAACGGGTCGCAAGTTAACACTCAAACCCCTTAAAAGTGTCGGAGAGACAGGCCCCCCCAAACCCTAGACCCCCCATAACTCGTCTTCCTCCTCTCTCAAAGCTTCGCCGTTCTTCGTCGCCCGGAAATCGCCTCACGCGGCGGATCACTCCCAAACCCAACCAAATCACTCACACTCCTCACCTCACCCTCTTCAACAATCGATCATCAATTTGCCCCAAAACCCCACTGAATCCCTCTAAATCCGGATATAAAAAACAGAAACCCTAGCTTTCCCTTTTTTCTGATTTTTTCTGAGTTTTCAAGACTCGATTTGATCGAAACCTACGCTAGTTGTTTGTTCTCGACGAGAACGATTGATTAGCGTTATTTTTGGTCTATTTCGAAAAATTTCAGATTCGTCGGATTCCGCTCAAGCCAGTCGTCCTTGTTGCCTACCCTAGGTATCCCTGTTCTCTTTGTTGATTTCCTTTGTTTTTCTTTTATTTTTTCTTTCTTCCTCGTCTGACCAGAATGCGCGAGTAATGTGTTCATTCGATAGTTTTTGTTTTAATCAGTGTTTAGTTTAGAATCCAATGATTAGTTTGACTTTAATTACCCCTTAGAACTTGCTAAACTGCGATTTAAAGTGATATTAATAACATAATTAGTTCAATTGCTTGTTAATCAGTTTGATTGCATGAGTTGTTAGTTAATTGGGTATCTAATTAGTTTGGTCTTGCATTACTGCTTTTGTTTGGATCCGTATGGTTTTGCAATGGTTCATTCATCGTTCACCTAAGGTTAAAGGGGACGTTTGGAAATAGAAATAACTTGTTAATTCAGTTGTTTGTGCTTATTTACTCTTTTGGGTGGTTATTTGTAATAAACAGAAGCTAAAGGGGTCTTAAAGGAACAGGAAAGTTTAGGGCATAGAAAATCAGAAATTAGGGTGGCTATTTGTGTTAAGCAGAACTTAAAGGGGTCAATTGGGAAGTAAAAATGGATGAATTTCAGGTAAAAAATATCAGAAGTTTCTAGTATGGGACATTTGTCCATTTTTAGTGTTAAAAGATGCTGAAAATAGGGTAAAAGGACAGCTGTACCAAAATCTGTTAAAAAAGATGCTGTCCTATCCTTTTTTACAGCTGACACCCTAAAATATATGCTGGAATATTCCCCATCAGACCCCCTCTTATTCTTATCCTTTTCATACCCCTACATTCTATATAAAGGACAGACCTCACACTCACTCACAGAGAGAATTTTCGCAAAAAAAGCCTCTGAGATTTAGACTATCTCTTTCATTTTCAAGACTGATTTTGAGACTCAAAAATTCTGGAAAATTTGAGAAGTCCTTTCTCATTTGGCAAGGAGTTTGGCTTTAGAGTTTCATTTGGTCTTGGGTTTTCTACTGCTGTGCTGTTTGTCTGCTGTTGTTATTGCTATTCTTCTTGCTGCTGCTTTTCTTCCAAGTTTTTCCAGAGATTTATTTTCTTCTTTTTCTACTGCTGTCAATGTAACGACCTGACCGGTCGTTTTGAGCTCTAGCGCGTCGTTCAGTAGTTTGAGGCCATGAGCAGCTTCACTTCAGGTATTATGACTTGTACGCATGGTCGGAATTGAATTTCGGGAAGTTCAGAGTTGATTTGGAAAGAGAATTCTCATTTTGGAAGCTTTAAGTTGAAAGAATTGACTAAGATTGGATTTTTGAGTAAACGACCTCGGAATCGGAATTCGAAGGTTCCAGTAGGTTCGTATGATGATTTCGGACTTGGGCGTATGTCCGGATCGGGTCTTGGAAAACCCGGGAACGTTTCGGCACCTATTGTGGAAGTTAGCATTTTTGGAAGAATTTCATAAGTTTGGGTTGAAGTGCATTTCAGCGTTATCAATGTCCGTTTGGGATTCCGAGTCTGGGAATAGCTCCGTATGGTGATTCTGGTGTTGGGAGCGCGATCGAAAGTGAATTCGGAGGTCCGTGGGTCATTTTTGGAGTCATTTGGCTAAAGATAGAAATTTGAAGGTTTTTGAGGAGTTTGACCGGAAGTGGACTTTTTGATATCAGGGTCGGAATCCGATTCCGGAAGTTGGAGTAGGTCCGTAATGTTGAATGTAACTTGTGTGCAAAATTTGAGATCAATCGGACATGATTTGATAGGTTTCGACATCGAATGTAGAAGTTTGAAGTTCTAAAGTTCATTAAGCTTGAATTGGGGTGCGATTCATGATTTCGATGTTGTTTGATGTGAATTGAGGCCTTGAGCAGGTTCGTGTTATGTTATGGGACTGGTTTGTGTGATTGGACGGGGCCTTGGGGGCCTCGGGTGTGTTTCAGATCATTTCAGGCTGTTTTGCAAGAGCTGATGCTGGTGTCTGGTGTTGTTTTTCGCGTTCGCGAAGATCCTCTCGCGTTCGCGAAGAAGGATTCGGCTTCAGGGACTCTGTTCTTCGCGTTCGCGAAGAAGGAAATCCCTGTTGCACAGGTCTGACTTTGGAGGCTCATATCTCGCAATCTATAAGGAATTTGGAGATGATCCAAAAATGAAAGTTGTAGCCTTTTGTGTCTAGTTTTCAGAAACATAAACCATTTAGCATTTGGATTTGTGTACAAAAATTTATGGTTGGTACACTACAGGCTGTCCGGGAAGATGAAGAAGAAATTTGTGTTGCACAGGGCTGACTTTGGCAGCTTATATCTCAAAATCTATAAGAAATTGGGGGATGACCAAAACATGAAAGTTGTATATTTTGGTGTCTAGTTTCAAAACATTAAACCATTTGTCATTTGGAGTTTTGTACAAAAAGTTATGCCCATTATACTAGAGGCTGTTTGAGAAGAGTTTGGAAAATGGTTTTTGGGAATTTTCTTCTTCGCGAACGCGATGGGTTCTCGCGAACGCGATGAAGAGTCGTCTGGGCAGTGTATAAGTGTAAAGAAATGTGTTTGGCTCATTTCATCTCTTTTCCTCCATGGGAGCCGATATAGGAGCGATTTTGGAGCTCCATTTTCATCATCTATGTCAAGGTAAGTGATTCCCACCTATTGCAAGTTAATTACTTGGATTATATCTAGATTTTAACATGGAAAATCATGTAAATTAGTAGAAATTTTGGGATTTTGAAGAAAACCTAGGAAATTTGCATTCTTGGATTTTGACCACGATTTTGGACATGA